TTACGCGTATAAAAATATAAGATTGGTAACGTATGGATGAAACCCTTCTTCTATCCCCGCGGCAACGCGCGGGGACGGGTACGCTAGTATATAATAATTTTTTAAAATAATTTTTGCCTAGGGCGCTAAATAACCTGCGCCGGCACTGATTGTGTGGTTATTGTGTGACTTTACTCAAAGATGGATGTTTTTTAGTATTTTAAATTAAACAATAGCGATTATGTTTTTTTAGATTATCTATCGCTAACGAAGACTTAGATTCTAATCTAGATCTAGATCTAGATATAACTAGAATATCTCGCAGTATGGATGAAGGTAAATTAAGCCGGACGGCTTTTTTTCTAGTAACCTACAAATCTTAAACAAGAAAATTTCTTAAGTTATTTAAACTTGACTTGCCTTTTTCAAAAAGGTCTTGAAATAATAACAAAGAAAACCAGAATTTCCATAACAACATTCTTTGCAGCAAGAAAATAATTCAGTCTCAAATGCCCGACTTTAAAGTAAACACAACATTAGATTTTGGTGTAAAAAGGTGCGAACTTTGCGCACTTTAGCGTGAAGATAAAACCTGAATTCGTGCGTGTTTAGAATACACCGTTAGCCTTATACTTTATCTTAAAATGGTTTTCGGATTAAAAGTAAAGTTGGAGGTTTTTTGCAGTGTGTGGATGGTGTTATTCAGGTGGTTGTGTAATCGTGCAACATGACCGGGGTTTAGGTATTTTGTGTATGCTTTACTGCAAAAAATATATGGCGAGAATAACGTTAACAGAGCAGTTTGCGTTTAGTCGAAAATATCATTTTACCTACGATACTTATTTTTATTTTCTCGTATGTACGAAGTAGATCTATAGAGAAAGTCTTGTAATCGTGCAAAAAAAAAAAAAATCGAGATTTTTGCAAATCTCGACGTTTTACACCTCACTGATACAGAGGCGTAGCGACCCCTCCCGGCGCCCGGGGCGAACATTCAGTTTGGCGCCCCGCCATATATATATATATATATATATATATATATATATATATATATATATATATATATATTTATATATATATATATATATATATATATATATTTATATATATATATATATATATATATATATATATATATATATATATATATATATATATATATATATGTGTGTGTGTGTGTGTGTGTGTGTGTGTGTGTGTGTGTGTGTGTGTGTGTGTGTATTTGTGTGTCTTGAAAAAAATTAATAGTTACACTGTATGATTGTCGTTCCCTAAAACTCAACTCAACGCCAATTAAATTCCCCTTAAGATGCATTATCCTTTAAAGATGATGATTAGTAATGTCAGAAAAAAATATTGTAGCGGTGCTAATTCGTTTAGGACAGTCTTTTTATGTTTTGTCTTTGGAACAGTCTCTGTTATGATATAGTATATATATTTGGATTATAAGTTTGTTAGATTAAGGTTATACAATTGACATACAATAGCAAATTATTGTTCACATTGGAATACGCTATGGGTATTTCGTTGAATGGTTGATTGTATAATGAAACAAGCTAGAGGAAAAAACATTTCTTTTTTAATTGTTAAAAGAGTTATCTAGTAACCGATCCAGTACAAATCCTGCGATTTTTGTGGGTGAAAAAGCGCCCCCTCCCCCACCATCTTGGACAAAATTGGTAGAGCGGATTTTAAACGTCACTAACTCTTGTTTTTATGTTACACAATTGTAAAAATACGCTTTAGTTCCATGGGTTCTTTTCTGAGTGATAAGGGTTATTTATTCCTTAATTTTTCCGATTTCAGACTTCGAAAAAGCGCCCCCCCCCCCTCCATCTAGGAAAGCTGGAAAGCAGTTTTTCCGGTCATTGTTTTTTACAGTTACTCAATCAAGGTAGAAAACAGTTAAATCAGTATGCAAAGGCTCTCAGCCGTTACATTTCTTTACTTTGACTGTTTATAATTCAAAACTGCAGCTTAAAATGAGCTTGTAAATTTTTTTTCTACCCCTTTTGGCGCCCCCTTAGGGTCGGCGCCCGGGGCGGCCGCCCTCCCCGCCCTCCCCTAGCTACGCCTCTGCACTGATACGGAAAAACATAATTTTGCAGTCTTGTCCGTATGTCTGTGTGTCTGTGTGTGTGTGTGTAAACACGATAACTTACCGTTACAGCTAGGTTGATGAATTTCATATATAAGTATGTTATCAAAATCGTAGATCCCTATCAACTTTTGAGCGATTTCCGATAACCGGAAGTGGTACTTTTTTGCTTTAAATTTTTGAAAAGCCTTTAACTTGAGTACTATTTCAGATAGATAAATAAAATTTCACACGTAAGTAAAAGATCTAATTCTGTACCTTCTGTCAAATTTTGAGTAATTTCCGTTGACCGTAAATACTAATTTACGCTATTTCCGATTTCTCAAAAAAAAAAAAAAAGCATGTAAATTTTTAAAGTACTAATAATATTGCGCACTATTACGAACATCTTTATTTGGCGTTCGCTTAATGCGCAATTCTTTTTTCTAAGAGATGATATTCTATTTTAAAAAGTTTAAGTATTTAAAATGGATTAAAAATCATAACATTATCCCGAGTTCCCATCCCCTGTTGTTTTATATAAGAATATTCGAGAAAGTTTAGCGGAGATCACTCCCGGTTTATTTTTTTCAAGAAAAGCTTTTGTGGCTGTATTTGTGAAGTAGAGTTATGTTTCGAAACACCAAAAGCGTTTGCACTACATGTTTCTTTCTCTTATAAGTAGTATAGTGGAAGTGTTATAAACGTGAAAGATTCAATATTGAGAACTTTAAAAATCTCGGCGTTTTAAACCTCCCTGAGTAGGAAAAACGTAAATTTGCAATTTTTACTTTCTCGAATACAGATTATAGAGAAAGTATTGTAATCGTGCACAAAAATAACACCTCAGTCCTTAATCGCATCCGCAGTATAGAGGACTTATTTTAATCTAGCAAAAATTAAAAATCCATATATATCAAAATTTTGGCGTTTTATGCGTTATCGAGTCGGAAAAACTGAACTTTGCAATTCTCTCCGTATGTTTGTGTGTGTGTGTGTGCGTGTGTATGTGTGTGTATGTCTGTAAACACGATAACTTGAGTACCGTTAAAGCTAGATAGATGAAATTTTATATAAGTATTTATCAAATTTGTATATCCGTTTCAACCTTTCAGGAATTTCCGATAACCGGAAGTGGAACTTTCTCTACTTTCAATTTTTCAAAAGCCTATAACTTGAGTACTATTTCAGATAGATATATAACATTTCACATGTAAATAAAAGATCTAATTCTCTGCCTTTTATCAAATTTTGAGTAATTTCCGTTGATCGGAAGTAGTAATTAACTCTATTTCCGATTTCTCATCTGAATTTATAAAGTAGTAATAATATCCCGCACTATTATACACATTTCTGTTTGGCGTTGACTTGGTGAGCAATTTTTTTTCTACGAGATTTTATACTATTTTAAAAAGTTTAAGTTATTTAAAAAGGGATTAAAAACCATGTCTATATCCCGAGTTGCCTTCCCCTGTTGTTTTATATATAAGAATATTCGAGAAAATTTAGGGGAGATCACTCCCGGTTTATTTCGTATATAAAGTACTATCTACCGCGCCATTAAACGTACATTTTTCGTGTTCATTTAGTGCGCATTGTTTTTTGTCATGCAACTGAATTGTATACATTTTTTTAAGTACTGAAAAAAGGCATTAAACCGTTTTAATAAAAAGCTTTTGTAATAATTCACTAAATAGGAGAAAATAAGTTTTTTTTTTAAATAAATAATAATGAACTAAAGATAAAATGTAATATCACCCCCCCCCCATTCACGCACACATAAGCACGCACAACGCACATCTCTTACAGCCCAAAGCTGTACTTTCAACCTGAACCTTATTTTCATTAGAAAGCTTAAATTTTATGCAAATTACGGACGCATTCCCTAGCGTGACGTAAAAGTCAATCAGTCACGTTTTCCCGGAAGTCACATGACACGGAATAAACAACTGATTCAATTCGCTCACAAGAGTACAAACAACATTTACCATTGTGGACCCACAGGGCCCGCAATCCAACCGGATTATGATTCTGTCCCTTAATTGGTAGATTTATGGTATGTATTCTCCTAACAACAAATGCAAAATTCATAGTAGCGTTGATGAGATCTAGGGTGGGTGAACACACTCAAGGTGGAACTACTTGTAGATGATTATCTTTCTTTCACTTTCTCTCTCTCTCTCTCTCTCTCTCTCTCTCTGTCCACCTCATGCAAAAGGATATCTCTGTATCTGTCATAGATCCGATCACAGAGTTTATTCACAGAAATAACATCATTGCTTTATTTTATCATTTGAGTTATTCAATGATCCCAGGCCTATTTAGAAAACATTTACTTAACTAGGCTATTTTCAATCTATAACCAGAATCATGTTCTCTCTCTCTCTCTCTTTCTCTCTCTCTCTTTCTCTCCCCATAAACAACTCTATATCTAGATATTATATAATGATCACGATAAAAGAAGAAAAAATTATATTTTGGTCAGGTAAAAAAACAAAACAAATTTCATTTGAATTAAAATGGCTTTATTTTTGACAAAACTCTTTACTAAGTTAAAGAGCTGTTTTTTTTTTATTCATGAAGGGGAATAAACTTTACAAAAAGACAACTGCAAAATGTAAACAAAAAACATTTGAATACTAGAAGTGCTCTAAAATTACCAAAGAAAAGCTCAATTTGCAGAAACGTATATTTAAAAAAAAAAAATGGTGTCACTAGCAGAGGTACGGTAGCTTAGGGTATTACTTCAACACCCTTTCAACAATATAGCATTTTCGGTTTGGTGTCACCTCCGCCACAATTACTTTATTATTTCATCTAAATAAAACCAATAATTAAACATTATATTTTGCAATGTGTTATCAACCCCCCCCCCTCCCCCACCTCCATAAATGGTGACACTCCCTGCCCCGCGTTGTGACGCAACTGATTTCATTAAAAAAAATTATGCGAACAAATAAAACGAGACGACACACGTAACTACGACAAAGAAAATAATATTAAATATCAGGAACAATGCGTTGAGTCCCCAGGCTCTGCTTCCAGATGTTAGGATATTCCACCATTTAAAAGTCGCAACTGGCTTGCTGCCTCCTATGGAATCCGGAGAGACTTTTGCTGCTTTCAGGTCCATATCATGCACGGCGATAGTCACGCAATGCCCCGCGATAGTGAATATTGAAATAAGTATTAGGAGTGAGATGTACACAACTGAAACACATTGTGAAAGGCAAGATTTCATACAATTTATTTACAAAAATATGCGGTTTAACAGAAAACACTGAAAACAATTTGTGACAATTATTTTAAGTATTTTAAATTATTTTTATTGAGATGTACACAACTGGAGTAAGGCAAGGTTGAATGCAAAATAACAACAACAACAACACCAAATCAAATGACAATCATTCTAAATATTTTAAATTATTATATTTCAAAATTATCTAAAATCTGATGAAGCAACATTGCTTTGACTATAAGTGAGATTGAGCACAGTTTGGCTTTGACGACATGTGCTTTAGACTTTAGATCACAAATGAACGTCTGGATAAATCACAGGCATTCGAAATAGCTTGTGTAAGATATCAACATGTTTTGGTTACTATCAAGCTATACTGATACAATATGTAGATATACGTGGGTATGGGGGGGGGGGATTTCTGCAGTGAAAACAATACTTTCAATGATACTCTATTGTGTGTGAGTTAATATTTTTGTGTGTGCTTCGAACAGTGTTATCTTATATGTTTGGATAAAAGACATTATATGCACATATCAATTCAGTATACAGAATTACAGTATACTCACTTAAAAGGGATATTTCTGATGAGTTATCAGGTAGTTCATTATCTACGATGCTGAGAAACACGGTGGATGCAAGCAGGGTTGTGAAGGCGACAGAGAGTTTGTCCTTATCACCCAGTGCTATTAAGAAGGACAGGATGTTGAGGATAGCCAACATTATGATCGGTACCACTATCCTGGAAATATATGGTAAATTACAGACGGTGGAAGGGAGAGGGGTTAGGGGCCGGGGGCTTTCATCAAACAAACAGGCATTTAACTGTTGCATTGTTACATATTTAAAGAACATCTATCTATATATATAATTCTCTTCTGGGAGCCGTTAGAAAACAAGCTGCAAGCGCCTCCTTGCAGTCCCCTCTCTATCACTATCACTACCACCCCCACCACTCCCCCACATTGTCTGGTGAGCTGTGGTCACGCTGTTTACATTTTACAATCAAAGAGACGGGTTTGGTGACGGCTATTAGGGGCAGATAATTTAGTTTGAAACGATTTTAAACTTAGAGGAGGTAACTAAGAGGAGGCTGCTTTCACGTGGGGGGGGGGGGGGGAAGGGGGGTTTAGTGTTTTTAAGCAAATATTTTCAGTGGCAGTATTGGTGCTTGTGAGGGTGGGGATTTTTAAAAGGGCGTCACGAATGAATCCAATAACACACAGTTCAAGTTCAACTATAATTGTTCTTTATTAAAATGATATATGTGTTCAAGTTTCTACCTAACTGATCTACACTGTACTATTTACTTCTACTACTGACTGTTCATACCACATGCTACCTACTACTACGCACTCCCATGACCAATCCTAACACTAACTGTTCTCTACATTCTACAACCTAACACCTTCTACCTTCGCTAGCTAATCATGATCTCCTCACTATCTACATTCTCGGCCGTCTCTGACCGCTACCTAACAACTCATGGCCTATCGCTCCACTGCCCCACGCCTCAGTGGTCAGCTGACCGTCCCACGTGACTGGTCAGCCCTGTGCGCCCATTGGCCTCTTTAACCAACCAACTAGGCCTATAGTCTGTTTCTGCTAACCTATATCTGCTAAACATGTCTGACGTAATCTTGCGTCATCACATATCTCCCTCCCTTTCTGTAGCTGACAAATTATATTTTTCAGCGTCTGCTACTAATCTAATACATCAACAACTATCTACCTTACTACTGTATTCTATCCCTAACATCAATCATATAAATCAAAAACAAAATGGGACAGCACAGTTTACAAAAACATAAAATCTCGTGTCTGTGTTCCTGAAAAAAAAAATGTCATTGTTCTAGTTCCTGAAATCTTGTGGTGTGACTGGTGTCTCTGCTTGCTAATGTATGTCTATGTTATGGTATGTGTGAATTCAATCATATGTAACTCAGTTCTGGCTAGGTTGTCGTGTACTGACATTGAGCTAATCTTAGTAAAATGTGTAACTGGTTGAACGGGCTCTGCGAGCAGCGTAAGTGTATGTGTTATGTAATTGCTGGCGTTCCTCTGTGGTGGGTGGGTTGTGGCGAGTTTTGATGTAAATTCCCGTGAGGCGGGTGTATGCGTAACTTCGTTGGTCAATGTGATGACGCAACAATCTCATCTCAACGCTGGTTGAGACGTCCACGTAGAGTGGTTATAGATGAACTGGAGCTGTCTGATGCGGTGGCGAACAATGACGTAACGTTCCGACGCTGGGAACTTGGCCGATGGGTCGTCTACCCTTTGTATGTGCCGACGTGGGTGTACGTAGCTGGCGGTCTGTTATTCAACCCCAGTGCGGGTGCGAAGCGGTGGCGATGCGTCCGCTGTCTTGACCAGGGCAATTCTCTGTTCAGTAGGGCTGGCCGCTGTCCAGGTAATTCAACGTAATCAGGGTTTCAGGTGGCGGCACTCTTTGAAGTGTCGGCTTCATCTCGTCTCATTCTGAATAAGCGTAGTGGGTCTGAAATTGTATTACGAGACCATGAGCAATGGTTTTACGTGACCATCTTAGTGCCCGCGCAGACAAGTATTCAGACAGAGGTACCTTCCATTAAAAAAAAAACCTCAATCCCGAATTTAAACGTGCTGAACATTTGTCTGGCGGTATAAAAAACATAAAAAAATAACATTACAACATAACCAAATAAAAAAAAATCAGTACACTCTAATCTAACAACAATCTGTAAGGCCTAATAAACTCAATAGACGTAAACACTACTAGAGCTTAGAAATAGCTTCACAAAAAGAAAAGACATGTAAGTGTATATAATTAATATCGTGCCATTTCAAATCAACATTTCAACACGTAATCATATAGTGGAGCAGCTCTCACTATCTGACTTCTGACAAAAAACTGGCTGGCTTGACTTAATGACTGACTTCACTTATGACTTCAGTAGCTTGCCTTATTTCACTTTAACTGACTTCAGTAACTTCACATATTTCACTTTGACTTCAGTAACTCGACTGACTTCAATTTAACGACTGATTCCACTTTGACGACTTCAATTACTTCAACTTGACGACTAACTTCACTTTGAAGACTAACTTGACCTCGACGACTTCACTTCAATTCAACTTAAAAGACTTCACTGACCGACTTAAACTTCGACGACTTAAACGTCTTCACTTTGACTTCAAGACTTTTCCTTGACTTCAACTACTTCGATATGACTTCAAAGACTTCACTTTGACTTCAAAGACTTTTTCTTTGACTTCAACGAGTTCAATATGACCTCAAAGACTTCACTTTGACTTCAACAATTTCAATATGACTTCAAAGACTTCAATATGACTTCAAAGACTTCACTTTGACTTCAACAACTTCAATATGACTTCAACGACTTCAATATGACTGACTTGACTGACTTCAAATAACTTCTTTGACTTCAGTTCTGACTTATACTTCACTGACTTCAATAACACAATTGACTTCAGTTTGACTACACTGACTTCAACTTAAACTTTTATCGACTTCATGCCGATTTTCTCGACTACTTAGATCAACACAAAACTACTCGACTTGACTTCACTATTATGTCCGTTGTTCAAAATCATTTATGGAGGCGGTCCGGGTCACATTCTTGGTCATGGGGTTGATGTTCTTGGCAGTTGCGTGTTATCTAGGCCCTATTTGATTTACTTTCAGTTTCACTAATTCTAACGCTAACTCAGCTTTTGTTCTTGGCATTTCTTACTATCTTGACTATCTTGTTTCTTAACCTACTCTCTAAAGATGTTTCAACTTCTTCTCCTGTTTTGTCTAATGGTATGCCCTGTTTATAGCATTGAAACTCTGCCTCCATGGTTGTGTATGTGTGTGTGTGTGTGTGTTGAGGAAAGTAAACAAAACTAAGGCAACAGGGCGTAACAATAGAATGTATAAGGCAGAAAAACCACTGGCACAAACTATCCAGCACGGGTATAAACCCAAACGTTTAAAAAAATGTTGGAAGGTACTTATCTTTTTGGACATGGTGACAGTTCCCTTGTATTATTGGTAATCCACTCGCTCCGGTTGAAGAAACCCGCTGTTGTGTTGAGTTGAAGAAAGCTGTACACCAGATGTACTCCGTCATGAGTAGCTGATATACTTTCTTTCCTGTCCTCGACCCGCGCTTCACCAGATGTGAGGTTGGTGATTTTAGGAAGGCCGGAACGAATGAATCCAATAACACACAGTTCAAGTTCAACTATAATTGTTCTTTATTAAAATGATATATGTGTTCAAGTTTCTACCTAACTGATCTACACTGTACTATTTACTTCTACTACTGACTGTTCATACCACATGCTACCTACTACTACGCACTCCCATGACCAATCCTAACACTAACTGTTCTCTACATTCTACAACCTAACACCTTCTACCTTCGCTAGCTAATCATGATCTCCTCACTATCTACATTCTCGGCCGTCTCTGACCGCTACCTAACAACTCATGGCCTATCGCTCCACTGCCCCACGCCTCAGTGGTCAGCTGACCGTCCCACGTGACTGGTCAGCCCTGTGCGCCCATTGGCCTCTTTAACCAACCAACTAGGCCTATAGTCTGTTTCTGCTAACCTATATCTGCTAAACATGTCTGACGTAATCTTGCGTCATCACAGTGCTGTCGAATTCACAAATTATAAATTACTGAAAAGTAGAAAAAAAACAACTAAATAGCGGCGTATGATACGCAGCGGGTCGGCTCGTAAGTTTTATTGTTGTTTTTATTGCATAATTGGATACGCTTTTGTAAAGAGGTTATAGTGGTGGTAGAGGCTGTACAAAATGGTTATTTTTATGCCAGTAGTGGTCATAAGATTCATTTGTCTGGAGCCAATATGTCGGGAGTATTTTTGTAAGGACCCAATTTGTCGGGAGTCATTTTGTCGGGAGACAATATGTCGGGAGCTTATTTGTGTGGAGCCTAATAGTCGCGGGTCAATATGACGGGGCCCTATTGACGGGGCTATTTTGACTGGGTAGTTTTATCGGGGGTCAATTTGTCGGGGTCATATTAACGTGGCGGCTTGGTCCCCGGCCGTTTTGACGGCGCACCGATATTCAGCAATGTAGTTTTTAGGGGATAGAAAAAATGTCTCTAAAAATATATCAAGTATTACTTTAAAATTCTCGTGATAAAATAATTAGTAACGAAAATCAGACATAAAAAATACTGATGAGGAAAACAGAAGAGAAAAAAAGAAACACACCCAAACCCGCATGACAAAGCGAAACTTAGTCCGAACCCCACACAACCCTCCCACACCCCACTCTACCACAACACATCACACTACGTCACCACCCGAACCCAATCATTTAGCAAACACCATACACTCGATTCGCCATACACCAAAATCACACATAGACAAAACACAACACACGGAGTAGATTAAAGCTAAACCACCTCACCGCCACCACTGAGTGAATATGCGAAAGAAAAAAAATTACTAAAATCCAGTTTTTTTTTGTCATAATGGGTTTATTGCAATTTTGAGTACTTTGTCTATTATTCCCCAGCGTTACAAGATATCAACAAAAAATTTAGTATCTAACATTTCTCAAGTGTTTTTTTTATTACTTTCTCGTATATACGAAGTATAGAGAAAGTCTTGTAATCGTGCAAAAAAAAAAATCGAGATTTTTACAAATCTCGACGTTTCACACCTCACTGATACGGAAAAACATAATTTTGCAATCTTGTCCGTATGTCTGTGTGTCTGTCTGTGTGTCTGTGTGTCTGTGTGTCTGTCTGTCCGTGTGTAAACACGATAACTTGAGTACCGTTACAGCTAGGTTGATGAAATTTCATATATAAGTATTTAATCAAAATCGTAGATCCGTATCAACTTTTGAGCGATTTCCGATAACCGGAAGTGGTACTTTTCCTACTTTGAATTTTTCAAAAGCCTATAACTTGAGTACTATTTCAGATAGATAAACGAAATTTCATATGTAAGTAAAAGATCTAATTCTCTACCTTCTATTAAATTTTGAGTCATTTCCGTTGACTGGAAGTAGTACTTTACGCTACTTCCGATTTCTCAAAAAACTAATGTAAATTTTAAAAGTACTAATAATATTGCGCACCATTATGCGCTTTTTTATTTGGCGTTCACTTGGTGTGCAATTAATTTGTCTACGAGATTTTATTCTATTTTTAAAACTTTAAGTATTTAAAATGGATTAAAAATCATGTCTATAGCCCGAGTTCCCATCCCCTGTTATCTATATATATAAAGCAAAGTGGTCGGGTGCCCGATAGGGCACTTCCCGGCGCCGCAGGCGCGTCAAATTTGGCACGATGGTGCCTTCGGGCGATAGAACACGAGGGCCGGTGACGGTTGGCCGAAAAATATACGGAGAGGGGGTCAAAACTGACCTCGACTGACCGGCGCCTTATATGGGCTATATTACGAAAAAAAATTTCCTCCGACGACCCCCCTTGAAATTTTGTGAGGTGGTAGGAGAACGCCTAGGGGTGTCACAAAAAACTCGGCATATCTCGGAAAAATCGGGAAGTGGGTCAAAACTGACCAGTCGTATTTCCCTATATAATCTTTGTATTTTATGGGAAAAACAGAGGGTCATTTCAAAACGGATTTTAGGGCACTTATCCTCTTTACATCTCGCTAATTTTCGGCATGTTTATAGGTAAATGGCTTGGCCGTACGGCTGACCTGTCAGTTTCACTCAAAGCCCTCGACGAGGGCTAAAAAGTGACCGCGAGTGAAATTCTCTTTATATGAGCTCTATTACGGAAAAAAATTTCCTCCGACGACCCCCCTTGATATTTTGTGAGGTGGTAGGAGAACGCCTTGGGGTGTCACAAAAAACTCGGCATATCTCGGAAAAATCGGGAAGTGGGTCAAAACTGACCAGTTGTATTTCCCTATATAATCTTTGTATTTTATTGGAAAAACAGAGGGTCATTTCAACGCAGGCTTTAGGGTACTTAAACTCAGTATATCTGGCTAAATTTTTGTATACTCTTAGGTCAATGGCTTGACCTTTAGGGAAAACTGTCGGTTTCACTCAAAGCCCTCGACGAGGGCTAAAAAGTGACCGCGAGTGAAATTCTCTTTATATGAGCTCTATTACGAAAAAAAATTTCCTCCGACGACCCCCCTTGAAATTTTGTGAGGTGGTAGGAGAACGCCTTGGGGTGTCACAAAAAACTCGCCATGTCCGGGAAAAATCGGGAAATGGGTCAAAACTGACCAGTCGTATTTCCCTATATAATCTTTGTATTTTATGGGAAAAACAGAGGGTCATTTCAACGCAGGCTTTAGGGTACTTAAACTCAGTATATCTGGCTAAATTTTTGCATACTCTTAGGTCAATGGCTTGACCTTTAGGGAAAACTGTCGGTTTCACTCAAAGCCCTCGACGAGGGCTAAAAAGTGACCGCGAGTGAAATTCTCTTTATATGAGCTCTATTACGAAAAAAAATTTCCTCCGACGACCCCCCTTGATATTTTGTGAGGTGGTAGGAGAACGCCTTGGGGTGTCACAAAAAACTCGGCATATCTGGGAAAACTTCGTAAAGCGGTCAAAACTGACCAGTTGTATTTCCCTATATAATCTTTGTATTTTATTGGAAAAACAGAGGGTCATTTCAACGCAGGCTTTAGGGTACTTAAACTCAGTATATCTGGCTACATTTTTGCATACTCTTAGGTCAATGGTTTGACCTTTAGGGAAAACTGTCGGTTTCACTCAAAGCCCTTGACGAGGGCTAAAAAGTGACCGCGAGTGAAATTCTCTTTATATGAGCTCTATTACGAAAAAAAATTTCCTCCGACGACCCCCCTTGAAATTTTGTGAGGTGGTAGGAGAACGCCTTGGGGTGTCACAAAAAACTCGGCATATCTGGGAAAACTTCGTAAAGCGGTCAAAACTGACCAGTTGTATTTCCCTATATAATCTTTGTATTTTATTGGAAAAACAGAGGGTCATTTCAACGCAGGCTTTAGGGTACTTAAACTCAGTATATCTGGCTAAATTTTTGCATACTCTTAGGTCAATGGCTTGACCTTTAGGGAAAACTGTCGGTTTCACTCAAAGCCCTCGACGAGGGCTAAAATGTGACCGCGAGTGAAATTCTCTTTATATGAGCTCTATTACGAAAAAAAATTTCCTCCGACGACCCCCCTTGATATTTTGTGAGGTGGTAGGAGAACGCCTTGGGGTGTCACAAAAAACTCGGCATATCTGGGAAAACTTCGTAAAGGGGTCAAAACTGACCAGTCGTATTTCCCTATATAATCTTTGTATTTTATGGAAAAAACAGGGTAATTTCAACACAATTTTTACGCTACTTAACCTCTGTACATCATGCTAATGTTTTGGATACACTTCTATAGATGACTAGGCCGTATGGAAAAACTGTTGGTCAGACTCAAAGCCCTCGACCAGTGCTAAAAGATGACCGCGAGTGAAATTCTTCTTATATGAGATATATATAAATAATTTGACGATCGATCCCGTTAATATTATTTGAGGTCGTAGACCGACCCTGGAGGGTAACAAAAAAAACTTTAATCCCGTCGGAAAAAGCTATTGTAGTCGTTAAATATGTTTATATATCGTATTTTCTTATATAAGCATAGTAACTGTTTGTTTTAAAAAAAAGTAAACACAGAGATACGTCATTCGGTTAATTTCCAAGGGAGGTAACCTTTTTAAATAATTATTTTTCAAATAATTGTATACTATTTTAAACAGAAACAGAAAACGACAAAGTATAGCATTTGTGTTAGATAAAAATAAGTTATTAATTAAGCTACGTATCATAATTAAATAAAAAATTAATTTTAAAAGTCAATGTAATATAAATTATGAGATATACTGTTCATGGAACCTCTGTAGTTCTATTTCCATCTTAGTTATAAATTGCGTACTTTCGAACATTTTCTCTGAAAGCTGATGTTAAAGAGCATAGGCATACAACATCTTCTCTAAAATTAGCATTACTGTTTACATTTAAGCACTCCACGCCTCATCCATCACCTAATAATTACTATTCAAATTATCAAATGTTTTTGAAAACCTAAGCGAAGCTAGGCAGTATGCCTAGTTTTATATAAGAATATTCGAGAAAGTTTAGGGGAGATCACTCCCGGTTTATCACATTTTTTATCGTTTTTGGAAACTCCGAAAGATTTGAATAGACAACATAAATAACACAGAAATTCTATTTTCGTTACCTACTTTTCATTTCTTTCTGCAGTTTTTCTCATTTCACAGTCTTCTAACAATAAAATGCCTACAACTTTTTATATCTCAATATTTCAATTCGCACCATATTTTCAGCATTTGTTTTTCAAGGATTAATAATACTTTAGTCATCAGGTAATTGTGATAGCTTTCATAAAAAAAAACAAAAAAAACAATAGTCACATTTTAAAACTTTTGCATACTATAAAGAGTGCAATTTTTCTGACCACTATCTCTTCCAAAATGTTGTCGTAACAAAACTTTTAATATATACCAAAATATAAGCAGTGTAAATCTGATTGACATTAGTCAGTGGATACATAAAAAGGCCTTAGGGTTTTCAAAAGTACCTACTAATTCAAAATTATTTAATAAGCGCACACAACCTTTATTTAAAAACAAAATGCTGTTCATTTATATATACATCATGATTTTATTTTGAATTCTTGGTTGCTATCATGGTTAGTATTTCCTGTGAATTTATGTCAAAGGGGAGGGGTCGTTATACAGGATTTTTGGGTGGGTGGGAGGGAGGAAATATGACTTGGGGGTTTATGTGCTCGGGGTTTATGACCGCACACCCCAACAGTAGCGTAGCGAGGGGGGGGGGGACATATGTCCCCGGGCGCCGACCTTAGGGGGGGCGCCAAATTGAAAGTTTGAGGGGGGGGGTGCAAATGAAAAGTTCGAGTGGAGGGTGCAAATCGAAAGTTTGAGGAGGGGGGGTGCAAATGAAAAGTTCGCAGGGGGGGTGCAAATCGAAAGTTTGCTCCCAAGGGGGCGCCAAATTGAAAGTATGTCCCCGGGCGCCGGGAAGGGTCGCTACGCCTCTGCACCCCACACATGACGCAGAACGACAAAAGCCTGAGGATTCAAGTGAAATAGAATGTTAGTAAAAAAAATACGCACGTCATTGTTGGGTACATCGCCCTCCTGGCGAGTGTTATCTTGAAGAGTAGATACTTGTAGTATTTTTTGAAGTGGCGGTAATATCTGCACTCGACTCCACCGGAGCTAACTATGAATACCTTGTTGGGAACAAACCTATCCATAATGATAGGTTCTTTGCCAGTTGTGATCTAGGAAAAGATACCGCCATGGACAAGCAAGAATTTAAAATAGTGTGTTACAGTTATCTATCTATATACTACTAAAACCCAAGTTTGTTTACAAGTTTGTACGGAAAAACTAGATTTAAGCAAGCCGTAGCTTCTAGATCTAGATATAGATATCTAGATCCAGCTCTATCTAGATCTAGAATTAATGTCAATAATGAGTTTCTTCTACACTAAACTATTTCAGGCCTTAATTATTTTATATAAATCTTTGTTTAGCTATGGAATCGGCTAATTCGGAATATAATTTAATTTGAAATAATAGGGCCTATTTGCGCAAAGCAAGTTCCTTACGCTGACTCTAAGATTAAGTAAAGTATTCCACTAATTTTATACATAATCTGAAGTGCCCAGCGGGAGATATTGTGTCAAGGTAAAAAAAAAAATGTTTCAAATTTTTTTATAGATATGAATGATAAAGTTGCCTATTGGGACTTGGCGGGACAAGGGGCAGGTGAAGTAGAGTTGCTGTGACCTCAGTATATGAAATGATAGTGTGTTCAGACACATGCACAGCTGCGATCGGTGTTTTTTTTTTTTAAAGACAAAAACATGTTGTGAAAGTTTGACGTCTTTTTGAATGTGGGATCTGGCTTTTTGTGAAGATGTGTGACAGTTGGAAGGCAAGGGGAAAATGAAAATCGTCAAACAAACGTGACGTCATTTATGGATGACCCCCCCCCCTTGAAATACGGTTATTCAAGAATAACGGGTAGTCTGGTAACTACATAGCAATATCATGTAGTACAAAGTACAGAAATGACAGATTTGTTATTGGTAGGGGCGTTGGCATTTGGCGAGAATATTGGTTGACGGCAAGACCCCGAGGGCACTAAAAAACGATTGATGAAAAACCAATATAAATATATAAAATGTTATAATATCTATGACGATGGCGGTGATCCTAAATGTGCAATTTACTCTTGTTATTTGTGTTACTGTAGGGTTTACGTTTAACGCTTTTAAATATATTATTATAAATTTCATATAAATGAATTTTTTTATTTCTGTTTTTTTTTATCATCGACCACTTCCATGTTCATTATAATATACCAAAAAATATTTTAAAAAGAAACAATACCACTGAAGATAATCTCTTATATCTTAACATAAAAAAATCTCTACCAACACATTTGATGCGATGCTAAACTTACATTTATTGCGGCTACGTCATACATCCACGAAATCATTTTAATATCGCACGTGTTCTTGTCATATGGATACTTAGATACATCCACCTGGAAGAAAAAAAAATAAAACAACATATTACACTCGAAGTGAAAAAATGTTTCATCTTCAGCACTTATTTTTTTAATTTTATGCGTTGTTAAACAAATTCGTTTATGTTGAGAACAGGCATGCATATAGTTATTTATATACGGATCACAGAAAACTGCGCGACCGGAAAACTGCAAGGAAAAAAATGCACAAATAAAAGTAAGTATACTAATGAACTTTAATGTTTTAATATCCCATGTTATGATGCGTGTTCGACTAGGGAAATTGGTGCGCATGTATGCTGGTGCGAAGCGATAATATTGAACGAGTGAAAGTGTGACGCGGTACGCAAGAAAGTGACGTTTTAGTGTGAGTTCGTTGTTGCCGGGGAAGAAGCTTAAATTAGTCTTGTTCGTGTTATGTTAGGGTTAGGTTGTCCAGTTTTAGTATCGTTTGTTCAAGCTGTCCGATGTCTATTTCTATAGTGCAATAAATGGAATTAGTAACCAATGTCATTCTGTCAAATCATTTGTAAGCGTTGATGTCATCGTGTCTCAAGATGCACTGTTGCATGGCTAGATATAATGAAATGGTAGTGATACTGAAATATAATATTGGATCAGGTAGTTCTACCCTCTCACTGCATAACTGTGGTACACATATTATAGAGCCCAGTTATAACATTCCATGTGAGCTTAAGTTGCTGTTAGGTGTTTTAAGTTCTAACCAAAATTTTCGTTTAGAGCACACGGTAAAGCAGCATCGTTCTGACACTTGTTTATTACGAGTAATGTAACGGAGATAAATAAATTCGTATCTCGAGGTACTATATATATATATATATATATATATATATATATATATATATATATATATATATATATATATATATATATATATATATATATAACTTTATTTATTTACTCTATACTCTAGTAACGTAATTCTGAAATTTGCTCAACACAAGTATACAGCATAATATATTTTGTGAAATATTGAAATATAATGTCGTATTTATTAGACTGACACAGGCTCCCGAATCTGGTACACTTAGCATACCACATTTGCACATATGATACTAAAAGATTTACATACTTTGCAGGAAAGTTCAAGAATAACAGGCGGCTCCCAAAGTATCAATCCCTGATTGTTGATAAAGACATTCACTACACTTGAACTTAGGTAAAAATCACATATGCTGCAAAAGAAACAATCACTAAAGTATACTAAAAAAAAAATGAATAAATGAATCTATAAAATTATCGATATAAATAATATAAAAAAAAGGAATGAAAAAAAAACAACTAATTAACTAATAATGCAGACAATATTAAACCAATTGAGAATTCCACAATAATATAAATACCAACACGTATACCAAAAATGAAGCAATGAAGCAATGAAGCAATGAAGCAATGAAGCAATGAAGCAATGAAGAAATGAAGAAATGAAGAAATGCAGAAATGAAGAAATGAAGAAATGAAGAAATGAAGAAATGAAGAAATGAAGAAATGAAGAAATGAAGAAATGAAGAAATGAAGAAATGAAGAAATGAAGAAATGAAGAAATGAAGAAATGAAGAAATGAAGAAATAAAGAAATGAAGAAATGAAGAAATGAAGAAATTTAGAAATGAAGAAATGAAGAAATGAAGAAATGAAGAAATGAAGAAATGAAGAAATGAAGAAATGAAGCAATGAAGAAATGAAGAAATGAAGAAATGAAGAAATGAAGAAATGAAGAAAAGAAGAAATGAAGAAATGAAGAAATGAAGAAATGAAGAAATGAAGAAATGAAGAAATGAAGAAAAAACAAATATAACTTTTTACCTATTGTAGATGGCTATATCAGGTTTCCATATATAGTCTTGAGTAACAATAAAATGTTTTATCCCTCCATACAATGCAGGATTCCAAGTCAATAATTCATCTCTCCACATCTTGAATACATAATTGATATATATATATATATATATATATATATATATATATATATATATATATATATATATATATATATATATATACTATCTACATGCCCGTGCTACGCCATGGTAAATCTTTCTTAAATGTACCAACTTGGAAACAGAACAAAACTAAACATAATACAAACACAACACAAACACAACACAAACAAAACACAAACACAACACATATTTAACACAAACACAACACAAAATAAAGCACAAAACAATGCAAACAAACACAATGCAAACACAAACAAAAACACAAACGCAAAACACAAACACAAAAGACAACACTCATAAATTTGCATTCACATTTTGCTAATTATATCATTGCATTAACAATTCCCTCATGGAGGTCCACATAATTTGCATTCACATTTTATTATATAATTGCAACAATATTTTCTTTTTGGAGGTCCGTAGATTTTGCATTCACATTTTTCTTATTAGCCTGAATTGAATTTATTTTTAAATTACCTCCCTTGGACAATTTCAAAACAGTTTAATTAATTTGTTTTTTCGACCCTATTAATATTAAAATGTATCCACTTTTCCTAGGAATCTAAACGAAAATTATATTTGGCACACACACACACACACACACACACACACACACACACACACACACACACACACACACACACACATATATATATATATATATATATATATATATATATATATATATATATATATATATATATATTTATATATATATATATATATATATATAATTTAAAACATGAAATTACGTGGAATAGAGGTAAATGGAGATGAACTGATTCATATATCAATCAATTCCTATATCAATAAACCGGGAGTGATCTCCCCTAAACTTTCTCGAATATTCTTATATAACACTACGGGGGATGGCAACTCGAGATATAGACAATATTTTAAATCCATTTTTAATTACTTAAACTTTTTAAAATAGAATAGAATCTCGTAGAAAAAAGAATTGCACACTAAGTGAACGCCAAAAAAATGTGCATAATAATGCGGGATATTATTAGTACTTTATAAATTCACATGCGTTTTTTGAGAAATCGGAAAAAGCGAAAACAACTACTTCCAGTCAACGGAAATTATTTATAATTTGATAGAAGGCAGAGAATTATATCTTTTACTTATATTAGAAATTTCATTTATGTATCTGAAATAGTGCTCAAGTTATAGGCTTTTGAAAAATTGAAAGTACAAAAAGTTCCACTTCCGATTTTCGGAAAAGTTGATACGGATCTACAAATTTGATAAAATACTTATATATGAAATTTCATCAACATAGATGTAACGGTACTTAAGTTATCGTGTTTACAGACACACATACATACACACACACATACACACACACATGCAAATAGCAAAATTATGTTTTTCTGACACAGGGAGGTTGAAAAAGTCGAGATTTGCAAAAATCTCGATTTGTTTGCATGATTACAATACTTTCTCTATACTTCGAATATACGAGAAAGTAAAACTGTAATCAATGTTTTCTTTATAAACTAATCTCTCTGATACTAACATTGCTTTCTTTTCGCTGCGCAATTTTTTAACGATATTCTACTTTTTGAAAAATTATTGATTATTAAAAAAAAACATTTCTCTAGCCCTGAAAGTGCCATACATGTTCTGTTGGATAATAATATACGAGAAGTTTTATGTAAGATTACTCCATGTTTAATTCTACATTAATTGTGTATATTTAAATAACCGACAGAGTGATTCGTACGTAGTGTCAGTGGCGTAGCGAGGTCGGGTATCACCCGGTGCGGCACTTAATGGTGTCACCCCCCACCCAGAGGCATAGAGACCATTTCCAGGGACAAACTTTCAAATTTTCGATTTGCACCCTCCCCCCCCCCCTCAAACTTTCGATTTGCACCCCCCTCTCAAGTTTTCGATTTGCACCCCCCCCCCCCTCAAACTTTCGATTTGCACCCCACCCTTGAGTTTTTCTCTATATATTTTGCTATTTTTTGCCTTGTTGTCACCCCCCTAAATGGTGTCACCCGGTGCGGTCCGCACCCCCCGCCCCCCCCCCTCGCTACGCCCCTGCGTAGTGTAGGTGCGTACATGGTTGATTGAGATTTGCTAGAAATTACTCGTATTGCAATATGTTAAATTATAACATCTAGTAAAGTAAACACGTTTCATATGTGTTATTTCAGCTGTGATTAGTTCATTTTGGATTTTTTTGTAAACCTCTAGGCCTCACGAGGAGACATAAATACGATTATACCACCACCTCGGCTTCAAAGGATAAAACATACAAGAAGCGTTGTTTTATTTATAAAAAATGCAAGTATGTCTAGCCCCCTTTGTGCGTGTGTCTACTTTATGCGTTACTACATTTTTAATCAGATCGTCAATCTACTTAGGAAAGTTGTTGAGAATACTCCTGTAAGAACATTATCTTCGAACAGGCAGCGTTACAAAGGGTTGCGATTTAGTACCCCTGGCTTTCCTATGCAGACTTTCTTCCAGGCATCTCTTCCAGCCCCCCCCCCCCCCGAAAAAAAATCTACCGCCCCCCGAACGAAATGAAATTTATATAATTTATATAGAAAATATATACTTTTAACAGTGACCGCCCCCCCCCCGTAGAATGTCTACCGCCCCCTCTCCCCGAAAATTTCTAGTGCCCCCCCCCCCCCCCGGAGAAAAAAGTCTTGAAGAAAGACTGTTCCCATGACACTTATGGCGCCTACGTTAGTTTTAAAGATTGCAAGCCAGTATGGAGACTATGGTCGGTAGGCGTGCGATTTTGCATCCCGGGCTCCCCCATGAACACCTTGGTATCCACCTTCGTTTTAAAGTATGCGATACATTATGATTATGATGGAATACCAGAACCTTTCACTAAATAGAAACAAACGAATATTTATACTGATGAAATAAGAATTATATTCAAATTTATTTACTTACAAAAGACATGAAACCGCTGAGTTTCAGAGTCTGTGTCTTGATATCCTTTGAGCAAATAAAAGTTTAAATGTCATATACATTACAATACACACAGTAAGGCAATATCGAACTGAAGTTAATGGAATTGAGGATAAAAATAAAATAATTGCATGCTTTGTTAATATGATAAGTAGATAATCATGAGCTTTGATAGAGTAGTTGTGCTATTGAAAATAATTGAGTGTTTAAAATAACTGACTATATATGCAAGAATTTGCGCAATAGGAAAGAATTAAATATGTAAAATAATTTTAGGATCAGGCATTCTGTTTTATAGGAAAAAAAGAGTCTTTATTAGTGAACCTTGTAACCTAGTAATCAGTAAATTGAAAACAACAAAGTCTGTGAATTATTTCTCGATCTTACAAGTGTGTTATATTGAGAGAATATATGGTAAAGTGGGTGAACTACGGTTAATGGTCTACTATGATTTGAAATCAATAGAAATATTATTTTATGATATTTGTTAAATTGAGCTACTTTTTTTTGTTCAATATTATGTATACAATCGCTCATACAGAATATAATTGCTACTCAGTGTTATTAGATAAACACAGCTGTTAACCTTAGTACTTTACTCCAATATACAGACAGCTCAGACAGCTGTCTCTGACAAAAGTATACATCAGATACTCAACAGATCTCAACAAGGTAAAGCACTAAACAAACAGGCGCGTAACCATAGTATACAAATGCAAGAGACGTAACAATCACTAGCAAGACATAACGTAACAATCACTAGCAAGACATAACGTAACAATCACTAACAAGACATAACGTAACAATCACTAACAAGACATAACGTAACAATCACTAACAAGACATAACGTAACAATCACTAGCAAGACATAACGTAACAATCACTAACAAGACATAACGTAACAATCACTAGCAAGACATAACGTAACAATCACTAACAAGACATAACGTAACAATCACTAGCAAGACATAACGTAACAATCACTAACAAGACATAACGTAACAATCACTAACAAGACATAACGTAACAATCACTAGCAAGACATAACGTAACAATCACTAACAAGACATAACGTAACAATCACTAGCAAGACATAACGTAACAATCACTAACAAGACATAACGTAACAATCACTAGCAAAACATAACGTAACAATAACTAGCAAGACATAACGTAACAATCACTAGCAAAACATAACGTAACAATCACTAGCAAGACATAACGTAACAATCACTAGCAAGACATAACGTAACAATCACTAACAAGACATAACGTAACAATCACTAGCAAAACATAACGTAACAATCACTAACAAGGCATAACGTAACAATCACTAGCAAGACATAACGTAACAATCACTAACAAGACATAACGTAACAATCACTAACAAGACATAACGTAACAATCACTAACAAGACATAACGTAACAATCACTAACAAGACATAACGTAACAATCACTAGCAAGACATAACGTAACAATCACTAACAAGACATAACGTAACAATCACTAACAAGACATAACGTAACAATCACTAACAAGACATAACGTAGCAATCACTAACAAGACATAACGTAACAATCACTAACAAGACATAACGTAACAATCACTAACAAGACATAACGTAACAATCACTAGCAAGACATAACTTAACAATCACTAACAAGACATAACGTAGCAATCACTAACAAGACATAACGTAGCAATCACTAACAAGACATAACGTAACAATCACTAACAAGACATAACGTAACAATCACTAACAAGACATAACGTAACAATCACTAGCAAGACATAACTTAACAATCACTAACAAGACATAACGTAACAGTCACTAACAAGACATAACGTAACAATCACTAACAAGACATAACGTAACAATCACTAACAAGACATAACGTAACAATCACTAGCAAGACATAACGTAACAATCACTAGCAAGACATAACGTAACAATCACTAGCAAGACATAACGTAACAATCACTAGCAAAACATAACGTAACAATCACCAACTTACCAGATCTATGACAATGTCCAAGACAAGTGTCGCTTGTACCTGCAAGGGCTGACTGTAATTTAGCTTGGGTCTGACATGTGGGTTGTAATCGTAGAAAAGGTCATTCATTAACCTCACCATACTCCCTGCATCACCACCAGCTTCAGCTGTTGTAAAGCGACTTCTTACTTAGATTAAGCCGTAACTTTGCATTAATTACGTCTCACAACAGTTGGGCAAATAAAAAAGATGTTTTGGAATAACGATTAAGTAATGAAGTACATTTCGAATCCGGGTTCAAGTCGTAAAACGTCCCTGAGTCCACCCAGTACCGTTAGGGAAAGCAAAGTCGGCTTGGCATAGTGCTGACCACACTATCCATTCGTAAGCCGAAGTCCCTGAAACAGATGAACTCTTCTTCCTCTGCCCAATGTATATTGCGCACGAAAAGGAAACGATGATGATGCGTGGGGCATTGCCTGGTTTCTTGCATATTAAACATAAAAGAAGGTTTAGTGAATCGTTAAGTACAACATCATTTTATAAGTGGACAAGTGGTGATAGTGAATTAAGAGAGAGATGAAATGAGTTAGGGGACCTATGTAAAGTGTTAAATCTTGAAGTGGATTAAATATTTAGGTGCAATATGAAGTATTGATATCAACAATACTCATTGTTGAAGTAATAGTCATTGATTAGTATTCTGTAACAATGAACCAGAGCTTATTACAACTATTATTAATCCTAAGTTGTCAAACACTAAGTAGAACATATCAACTCCTATAGATCACACAAAAAACTCTATTGTTTCATGTAGACTTAAAACGATCTCTTAGTAGGGATGGGTGCAGGGTTAATGGGTAGATCTAGTAACTTGCGAATCTTTTTAAAAAGTTCATTTTTTAATTACTCCACTTGCCTCTAACAGGACTCCCTTGAAACAATAACAGAGAAAAACAGATTTTAAACAACATTCCTTTTCAGAAAGTGAATCGTTTAATCTCTAATGCCCGTTAAAAACTGTGACAACACAAAGGTACGTTTAACTTGTACACGTTAGTCTGACGATTGCAATGGCGGTAAACACAAGCATCAACAGATAATAACAAACTATTTTGCACGATGTTTTCGTAAAAATACACGGGTGTTAATCGGTGCGCAATTTTTTTCTTGCAAAACTTTTATACAAATTTTAATACTTAAATCAATTTGTATGAAGCATTGGTGGTAAACTTTATAATAAGAATAAGATTCGTGTTGAAGGTAAAGCTTTGGAGTTGGAACCGTTGTACATTGTGTGCGTGCTTGTGTGTGAGATAAGTGTGTGTGTGTGTGGGGTGGGATATTCAGGTTCTTGGTAGTGCCAAGAACAATTTCCCTGCAACTTACATGGAAGTACCCGATATAATAGATGAAAGTAAAAAGCAAACACACCAAACATCCCTTACTATGCCTTTATAGACATAGATTTTTAAGAATTGCATTAACAAGTTTTAATAACAAACGTAGTGATGCAATAAAAATGATAAAATAAATGTTTTTCTTTAAATATATAATGATACACCAATTTACTTTAAAGAAAAGCGTGGGTCACTATATTATCTCTTGGATACTTTTACTAATGTTTAGGAAGAGACCCAAGCTTTTCTAGTAATTTAAATAGTAGAGTATAATTATATATTTAGTACATTATTATATAAAATCTTGTTATTAAAACGTTTTTTATGCTCATTTGTTTTCAGCACTTTAAGATTTTCATTACAATATAGTTGCAAGGCTAAAAATTATAATGAACATGATAACGCGCGGTTGTGGAAAGAGTAGCACAACTCTTTATACTAATTTGATGAATTTCAATTAATTGATCAAAAATTAATAAGGCATCCAATTAAGTCTAATTTGATGGCACATAGCATATTCTTCAAGTCTTGGCACACGTGACTACTTTGCAACGGATGTGTCAGTACCGCCCGAAATTTTGCTCGCCCGTTTCAATCTATGACGACCGACAGACTGATGACAGACTGACGACAGACTGACGACAGACTGACGACAGACTGACAACAGACTGACGACAGTCAGAGGAGGCAAGTTAAATAAAAACTTGTAAAACTAACAAAAACAGCGCAACTATTAAGGAAACAGCACAAATTCCAAAAACATATTTTAAATTCATGAAACTTATAAAAAGTTATTCAAATCAAAAGAACGTCTTTATAAAATAAGCAATTGCAGCTCGTAATTAAAAAAAAAGTTAATTTTATTAAATGTTAAAAAAAATAAATTAACATGAATATTAAGAAAAATAGTTAAATGACCTCAAGTATTACGAAAATGAGTTAAGTTAATGCAGCAGAAAAGAACACGACATTAACGACAAGCAAGGATGTGAAGTTCAATATCAGGAAGAGTTTGTTGAGTCTAGAGGCGGTGTCACCGTCACCGAACCTATCCAGCGGAAAGGACAACAAATTGAGAGCCATACATAGGTTTCTAGATAGCTGGGTCTCCTCCAGGTTGGCTCTCTGGTCCATGGAGTGCACGACTTTCACCATGCAGTTCCCGATGACTGACAGGAACGAAATCAGCAGCAGGAAGGCTATGTACACGACTGCAATAAAATGTTGAAAAGTTTAGTACGAGCAGTTGAAGAACAGTTTGTATACATGTATAGTTATGAATTCATCGTTTGGAGCTAGACTTTCCTACTTCTTCTTCGTTCTTAATTTTTTTTTATGTTGGAAAGGATTCCCTTCATCTCATGTATTACGTCAGTGGAGGAACTAGAAAAAAGGGCCACCCCGAAATTTTTTTAGGACCCCTATATATATATATATATATATATATATATATATATATATATATATATATATATATATATATATATATATATATATATATATATATATATATATATATATATATATATATATGGGGGCCTAAAAAACCATCATCCATGTGGTTTGATGTCCTCCCTTTGTTTGATTTGTACAAAAATACATTGTTCAATATGATATTATATATTGATATTATGAAAGACGTCTTTTAAATACGGTTTCACCCCCCCCCCCTTTTTCAATAATAACCTTACGTTACTGGGTTATTTCTGTAGGCTATAATATATTTCCTACTATAAATAAAGTTATACCTAGCAGGAAATTTAGCGGATAATGAAATAGTGCAGCAGTATTTTTAAGAATAACAAGACTGATTCGTTTATCGTAAAAGGTAGTAAATAAGTTTTTTAAAATTCAATTCTATAATAAGCTATGTTTGTTTTTAGCTATATTTTTGTCTGGTCGTAGCTGTTAGAGAGTTCTGTGAAAACACTTTGACACGATAGGTGCGAGATGGTTTGACTTTGAGCAATCGGAAGCTGAAGATTATTGAAGTAAGTGCTAGTCCCCGAGGATGTTTTGTCTATTATCTTTGATGTTGTCCTAGATGATATTTTGTATTGTTTCGTAGATAAAGCCAGTACAAAAGGTACATAAGGTTATTTCCTGGACCAATGGTATCCTAGCTTTGCTCTGGTAAGTTTCCTACATACTAATTTGATGAGGTTTTTTTTATTTTTAGATAATATAAAAACAATAATGTATACAGCATAATAACGCATTTAGTACTTGTCCTTTAGTTTGTTGCTTATTTTTAGGAATTTTTAAAGTCAAAACTTTTTTTTAAATAAATAATTTCTTTGGATACTATTATGAGACGGAGTGTTTTATTACCGTGTACTCTAGATTTTTCTAAAAGACTAAATTTTCTAGTGGTTGGGGGGAGGGGGGGGGGGAAACAGGAACACTTATAAAATCATGCATTTTCTTTATGAGTTATATTTTGTTCTGGTGGGGGGGGGGATCTCTTTCCCCCCTGAAGAGGTGCCTGAAAGAAACTGTGGATTAGGATTACAGTGCTTATACAAATACAATGGGCTTGCTATACGTGTATAAAAGCTTATGCTAACTAGTAATTATAACTCTAAATTATCTTTAAGAAAATGAATATACCAACCTAAGTACGGGATATTAATTGAGTCTTTCGGTAAGTCTTCATATATCATGTTGAGGAACATCGTAAACGACAGCAAGACGGCGATTGCAAAGGAAATCTTCTCATTCACATGAGGTGGTAATAGAAAGGAGAAGAGTCCCAGGATAGACAGCATGATGACGGGAGCCAGTAGCCTAGATGGGATCAATATTTGTAGGGAATCAGCAACATCACCATCATCACCATCATCATCATCATCATCATCATCAACAACACCATTATCATCATCATCATAATCATCACCATCATTATCATCGTCATCATCATCATCATCATCATCATCATCATCGTCATCATCATCATTATCATCATCATCATCATCATCATCATCATCACCATTATCATCATCATCTTTATCATCATTATTATTATCATCATCATCATCATCATCATCATCATCATCATCATCATCATCATCTCCATCATCATCATCATCATCATCATCATCATCATCATCATCATCATCATCATCATCATCATCATCATTCTTACTTCTTCTTCGTTCTTAATTTTAGTCTTGAAAGGTATTGCCCCCAACAAAATTACGTATACGTGTCAACTGGTTATCTGCTATTGAGGCCGCTGACTCCGATTTCAGCCTGGTTTATTTTTTGATTTGCATAGATAGCCTTTGTCCAACCAAGAACAAAAAAACGTTTATTTTCATTTGTTTACCATTGATAAAATTGGTGTCCCCCGGTTTGATCGTTACTAATACAACCACTTAGCGACGCTATTGTAGGTATAGTGTGTGATTTGGTTTACAACTACTCACCAACAATAGAGCTCTCTGAAAGCTTATCGGGGGACTTCACACACAAATAAAAAACAAAAACAATGCGTCTCTAACAATACTCACGATATCAGTCTGTAACAATACTCATGATATCAGTCTCTAACAATACGATATCAGTCTGTAACAATACTCAAGATGTCAGTCTGTAACAATACTCAAGATGTCAGTCTGTAACAATACTCATGATATCAGTCTCTAACAATACTCACGATATCAGTCTGTAACAATACTCACGATATCAGTCTCTAACAATACTCACGATATCAGTCTGTAACAATACTCATGATATAAGTCTGTAACAATTCTCATGATATCAGTCTCTAACAATACTCAAGATGTCAGTCTGTAACAATACTCACGATATCAGTCTGTAACAATACTCACGATATCAGTCCGTAACAATACTCACGATATCAGTCTGTAACAATACTCACGATATGAATCGCTAACAATACTCACGATATGAATCTGTAACAATACTCACGATATCAGTCTGTAACAATACTCACGATATCAGTCTGTAACAATACTCATGATATAAGTCTGTAACAATACTCACGATATCAGTCTCTAATAATACTCATGATATAAGTCTGTAACAATACTCACGATATCAGTCTCTAACAATACTCACGATATCAGTCTGTAACAATACTCACGATATCAGTCTCTAACAGTACTCATGATATCAGTCTCTAACAATACTCAAGATGTCAGTCTGTAACAATACTCACGATATGAATCGGTAACAATACTCACGATATGAGTCCGTAACAATACTCACGATATGATGAGGTACGCAGGCCGTCGCTTTAATTTTAGCCTTAAGAGCAACATCTTGTAGGTACGATTGTTGCTGTATAAATACACACCCTGGACTCCATCAGGCCGAACCACGAACTCGTTGTTAAGGACAAACCGATCCATATTAATAGGGTTAAGCCCTGTTATGATCTATGGAATAGGGTAAAAAGTTTGAAACAAAGAACCAAAACACAATTTTCAGATCTATTAATATGAAAAAAGTTGGGTACTGAAGCTTGGCTTTAAGTCAGTTGTGACGCTAGTTTAAGCTACATAAATTACTGGACACACTTGAAGTCATAACAAGCTCTAACATAGCGACATCTATCCCAGAATCCGCTACTGCTTCAGAGGCGTAGCGACCCTTCCCGGCGCCCGGGGACAAACTTTTCGATTTGCACACCCCACCCCCGTCAAGATTTCTCGATTTGCACCCCCCCCCCTTCAAGATTTCGATTTCCACCCCCTCCCCCCCACTCAAACTTTTTATTTGCACCCCCACCTCAAGATTTCGATTTGCACCCCCCCCCTCAAACTTTCAATTTGCACCCCCCTCAACCTTTCAATTTATTTTTCCAACCCATTTTGGCGCCCCCTAAGGTCGGCGCCCCTCCCCTCGCTACGCTACTGTACTGCTTTTGTGTTGTTTGTCACTCTACCAGTTAACACATTCCCATAGTGATCTTTCTCAAAAAGAAAATTCATAAAGACATGTTTTCGACCCACTATCTCAGAGCACCGGCTTAATGACCTTTTTCGTCTTACGATCGAAAATAAATTTACAAAAAAAAAAAAAATGAATATTGAAGACTTGATTGACAATCTTGTGAAAGGTAAAGCTAGGATATCAAAATTTACAAAATAATACATTTCTCTAAAGAACAACAATACAATTTGCAGCAGTGAAATAATATGCCTACATGTTTGTAGGTGTGTTAATTAGTTTTAACTCACTGCCGTTTAAAATTCAATCTTTTTTTGCACTACAAAAATGAGTTTTTTATTTTATTTACATTCTTAGTTGCTTAAAACAAAATATTCAAAGTCAAGTTTTGTTTTTATCGAGGAAAGTACAAATTCATTATCATTTTCCCCTTATAACTTTCAAAAATATTTGGTCCAGCCTGTAGCAGCTTATTTATTTAACGTAATGATCTGCGACTTGAGTACGAATTAACACTAGCATTCTCCGCGTATCATACTCTCAATCATAAAATAGGCCGCACACTAGAATCGTCTCATGTTTGAGTTTGGTTGGAAGATGACCCCACCCACCAGAGGCGTAGCGATGGGGGGGCAGGGGGGTACATATGTCCCCGGGCGCCGACCTTAGGGGGCGCCAAAATGGGTTGTAAAAACAAATTAAAATGTCATTTTAGCTGCATTTTTTAATTATAAATAGTTTAAGGGGGCGCCAAATTGAAAGTTTGTCTCCGGGCGCCGGGAAGGGTCGCTACGCCTCTGCCACCCACACCTCCCACACAAACTCTTGTAATGACAATTTCCCTCAACACGCATTAGCAATAGAAACCAGTGTAAACTTTACCAGTCAAGATTGTTATTTGTGTCTGGTTTTAGCAAAGTTAATGTTACTACAGAAAGTTACGCAACTTACGTTAATATCTGAAACGTCATTCATCCACGCAATGACTCTAATATCACACATGTTCTCATCAAAAGGATACTTGGAAATATCCACCTGGAATAATATATTGATATTAATCAGCACAGTTTGAATGCGCTAGAACAGACCGTTGCTATTATCTAAAACAAATATTTAAAAATATTTGTTTCATGTAACGTCACTATCTTTCGTCAAGTAACTTTTAAAATGTTTTCTCTAAAGCTTTCTTGTCAGACAGACAGAATAGTAAAACTGATATATAGTGAAACGGTTATCTATATATATAATTCTCTTCTGGGAGACGCTAGAAAACAAGCTGTAAGCGCGCTCCCTACTACCCCCACCCCTACATTGTCTTAGTGAGCTGTGTTCACTCTAAATGTTTACAAGCAGAGCTGGGTTTAGTGACGACTATTAGGGGCAGATAATTTAGTTTGAAACGATTTTAAACGTAGGGGGGGGGGGGTAACTAAGTGGGGGCGGGGGAGGAGGGGGTGGTGGTTATCGTCCTTAACGAGCTACTTATAGTGTTTTAAAGAAATATTTTCAGTGGCAGCGTTGGTAGTGTCGAATTCACATATTATGAATTACTGAAAAGTAGAAAAAACAACAACTAAATAGCGGCGTATGATACACCGCGGGTCGGCTCGTTTATTTTAAAACCACTGTTTACTATGTTCACTGTTGACATTAGGGTATTAAATTTTAACTTTAGGTATTAGATTATGATCTTGACATATGTATTAGTTACATATTAGTGAATTACAAAATTGAAATTCGGTACCTCATCTTGTTGTGATGCGTTTTTATACGTATAAGTAATAAAGTCTATTGAAGAAGCAAAGTATTTAAAATAAAATCTATTATTAGTACGCCAAAATATCTCTATACTTTGTTCCTTCAAGAAGTAAAGATTTCCTGTTTAGACCTAGCGATCCATTGGGCAGATGTAGTAGAATTTACATGTTTCATTAAACGCCTTTATTTTCCCTAACATGAACTTTCCCATCATAACTAGGTGAATTCAAGGACGTTCTACTGACTTTGACCCGGATTCCAACTCTGGTCATCTGGGTTAGTAGCCTAGCGCTCTACCGCTAAGGGCCACGCCGACCCGTATACATTTTGGCCTTGTTTATGTTTAAATTTTGTCTCAATTAAATGCCGAACAACATGAGAAATATCGATAGAATGGCAGGAACACGGAGAGGGAAATCTACACACACAGTGACTTGAAGATATACCTACATTGCAAGACACCTTCATGTTGGTCACTTGTTCCCATGTGACACGACCCAGAAATCTACACACACACACAGTGACTTGAAGCTATACCTACATTGCAAGACACCTTCATGTTTGTCTCTGGTTCCCATGTGACACGACCCAGAAATCTACACACACACACTGACTTGAAGATATACCTACATTGCAAGACACCTTCATGTTTGTCTCTGGTTCCCATGTGACACGACCCAGAAATCTACACACACACACAGTGACTTGAAGATATACCTACATTGCAAGACACCTTCATGTTGGTCACTGGTTCCCATGTGACACGACCCATCGAGTTGACTTTTACTAGCAGCTCATCGCTACCTAGGTAGACGCCCTGGATGCTACCACAAGAAATGAGAATCAATTTGTTTTTTTTTATGTGTTTCTGGATAAGTGATCCTAGATGTATTAAAACATACAGAGAGCACTACAAATTGTTGTGGACCTGTAAAAATTGGTTTATTAACTATCACCTTAATTTTAAAATTCAACACCTAATGGATTTTACAAATGTTAAACCATCTATGAAACAATAAAATAAATAGTACGTTTAAATAAATAAATATATAATTACATAAACAAATATATATATATATATATATATATATATATATATATATATATATATATATATATATATATATATATATATATATATATATATATATATATAACAAGTTTTATATTGGTTCTTATAAAATCAAAAATAAATTCTCCCTATTAGCATTTTTAGTTAAATTTCAAAATCCTAAGTCTTATTGAAATATTAATTTCCGTCATATTACCCTGACATTGGTATTCTACGTGTACAAAACATTATTATTATTCTTTTATACCATGATTATTATTATTATTATTATTATTATTATTATTATTATTATTATTATTATTATTATTTTCATTAAATTATTATTTTCATTAAATTATTATTCTTTTATATCATGCTTATAATTATAAAACTTCTCACTATTACTATTTTCATTACAGACATTATCATTCAATTGAACAAACGACCGTATAGCAGTAACGTAGCGAGGGGGGGGGGGAAACTATGTCCCCGGGCGCCGACCTTAGGGGGCGCCAAAATGGGTTGGAAAAATAAATTGAAATGTTGAGGGGGGTGAAAGTAAAAAGTTTGAGGGGGGGGGGGTGCAAATCGAAATCTTGAGGGTGGGTGCAAATCAAAAAGTTTGTCCCCGGGCGCCGGGAATGGTCGCTACACCTCTGCCGTATAGAAATGTAATCTATAATGTCCACGACCGCTATCTACCCTACCTGTTGTAGATCGCGATGTCTGGTTTCCACACTCGGGGTTCGGGTACTATGATCTCCTTTATTCCCCCATACTCTGCAGGTTTCCAGACCAAGATCTCATCATACCATCTCTTGTAAACATTTTAGGTTTAAATGTTGTAAAGCAAATGAGTATTAGCATACACATATAGATGCTATTCTTAAGTATTCAATCACCCGGAGACTATAGGGTAGGGTTAGTAGCTATTTCAAGTGGCCAGAATCAAATCAGCACTCTTAGCTCTACCCATATATATATATATATATATATATATATATATATATATATATATATATATATATATATATATATGTGTGTGTGTGTGTGTTAAAATATTTCTATCACATTCTTTCAATTTTACCCGATTTACTTTGTCCCTAACATCTAACAAAATGCCCTCGTTCTTATAATCACAGATTGCTTACACTATAGTAACAGATTGCTTACACTATAATTACAGATTGCTTACACTATAATTACAGATTGCTTACAATATAATTACAGATTGCTTACACTATAATTACAGATTTCTTACAATATAATTACAGATTGCTTACATTATAATTACAGATGGCTTACACTATAGTTACAGATTGCTTACAATATAATTACAGATTGCTTACAATATAATTACAAATGGCTTACACTATTGAAACGTGGGACATTAAAAATTATTTACTCACAAAGGTCATAAATCCACTGAACTCAAGCAGCTGTAGCTTGATGTCCTGTAGAGAAGAAAAGCCTGTGTTATAAAGCTTGACTAGCAGGTTGTAGGTTATATGGACACTAGCGGTATAGGGGGCTCCAGTGGAGTCAAGGTGTAAACTAAATTCGAGCTTTGACATGGACGATATAAAAGTTGTGAGGGGGGGGGGGGGGGGGGCTATTGTCCAGGTGGCGTATGATGTGCGTGGTGCGGGGGGGGGGGGGATTGTCAAATTGTCAAAGGGTGTTATATTCCAGGGATTTTTATTACAGTGGGGTTATTTTTCATTGGTTAATATTGAAGGCCGGTGCTTGTCTAGGGTTTTTTTTTCGGTCGGGGTTCGGGGAGGGTTTATGTCCAGGGGTTTATGTTGCGTGTGTGTGTGTGGGGGGGGGGGGTATTTGTCAAGAAGTTTGTGCTAACTGGGAAAAAAAGGCAACACACGAGTTTAATGAGCACAAGCAAAGTGAGTATCATAAATAGCGATTTTATTTTCCCAGAATCGTAAATCCGTTATGGTGATACAAAAAGTGAACATATTACCATAACAACATCGCATTGATCTCATCTTTATGTGAAAAATTAAAGAAAAATCGTTTAAGATCATCTTAAGGCATCTCTTGCGCCACCCTTCCCCATCTCCCCAAGAACGTCTACTGTCTCTCCTGAATAAATACAATTTATATAGGATATATTTTCTTTTACCCCTGTCAGCCCCCACCCTCAAAAATTTGAAGTGCCCCCCCCCCGCCCTATCCCCGAAGAAGAAGTGAATTTTGGGAAATTCGGAGTTGGAGGATCATTTCCCAATGCTTTGTCTCTTTCGTCCCAATATCCCCGTGTCATTATTCTATTTGTATCTGTGTCTGTATTGTCTTATCAACGACGGGACTACGTAATGACTGGCACACAGCCTTATTGCCCGATACTACAACGGCCTTGATGCCGGTACACTGACTTGTGTAAAGAGTTTTCTCCCATCATAAAACTTACCAGTTGTAGTATCGTGTCTAGGACGAGTGTAAAGTCTCCTATCGTAAAACTTACCAGTTGTAGTATCGTGTGTAGGACGAGTGTGAAGTATCCCATCATAAAACTTACCAGTTGTAGTATCGTGTCTAGGTCGAGTGTTAAGTCTCCCATCAAAAAACTTACCAGTTGTAGTATCGTGTGTAGGACGGGTGTGAAGTATCCCATCATAAAACTTACCAGTTGTAGTATCGTGTCTAGGACGAGTGTAAAGTCTCCCGTCATAAAACTTACCAGGTGTAGTATCGTGTCTAGGTCGAGTGTTAAGTCTCCCATCATAACTTACCAGTTGTAGTATCATGTCTAGGTCGAGTGTTAAGTCTCCCATCATAACTTACCAGTTGTAGTATCGTGTCTAGGATGAGTGTTAAGTATCCCATCATAACTTACCAGGTGTAGTATCGTGTCTAGGTCGAGTGTTAAGTCTCCCATCATAACTTACCAGTTGTAGTATCGTGTCTAGGATGAGTGTTAAGTCTCCCATCATAACTTACCAGTTGTAGTATCGTGTGTAGGACGAGTGTGAAGTATCCCATCATAACTTACCAGTTGCAGTATCGTGTCTAGGATGAGTGTTAAGTCTCCCATCATAACTTACCAGTTGTAGTATCGTGTCTAGGATGAGTGTTAAGTCTCCCATCATAACTTACCAGTTGTAGTATCGTGTCTAGGATGAGTGTTAAGTCTCCCATCATAACTTACCAGTTGTAGTATCGTGTCTAGGTCGAGTGTTAAGTCTCCCATCAAAAAACTTATCAGTTGTAGTATCGTGTGTAGGACGAGTGTGAAGTATCCCATCATAAAACTTACCAGGTGTAGTATCGTGTCTAGGACGAGTGTGACTTCCACGGTGATATTCTGGCTGTAGTTGCGGCTGGGCCGGATGTACTTGCTGTATGTCTGAAACAGGTCCTTGTGTAGCCTAAACATATCTGCGACCCTCCCTGAGCAAGTGGAACATTGAACGAAAAGCCCATATCGATTATATGTACATACCTTTAGCAAGTAAATAATAAAAGCAAACTGTATTAGTTAGTTATTTGGTACGGCTAATCGAAAAGTAAAATAATTTCTTTAAAAAAGAAACCTTGGTTGATTATGTAAGATATCACATAAGCGACCGATACATTTACTAAAGAAAGCAATTTAAAAAAAATAAGTTTTCGTCCGTGCATTTAAAAAGAATATTAGTGAAATTGTTTTGATATATGTTGATATAAATTGATATAAATTCGTTCTTAATTAAGTCGACGCTACACGCTACTACAGATATTTGCTTTAAAACCCAATCAATCGCTTGCAATCTCTAAACGATAATTATCTGCACCTGTTTAGCCCGTGGCCAGTTCCAGCGCAAGAAACCACCCAGAATAGACCAAAATCTAACCGAGTGATAGCGATTATTTCGTCTTGTTATTTTTCTTTAAATTAAATTTAGTAATATTTTAATTCAATTTTAACCACTAAGCCAATGTCTAATTGGATTAAAAATTAGATATTATTGCATTGTCATCGGAAAAATGTGCATTTAATTCATACTCGTATGTATTACATCCTTGGGTTCACCTGGTTCTAATAGGTACATAGCTAAGATTAAGCCGCCTGAGCATAGTTTTGACCACACTATTACTTCATTTGTCGAGGTCACAGAAACAGATGAACTATATTTCATCTGCCAGGTTTGAAATGGTAACTTCACTTTTATTTTATAACTTCGAAGAAAATTCCAGGTCTTTAAATTCTCTGAGCTGTGTGGTAGTTTGAAGTAGGGGCAGTGGCGTCACAACGTAGGAGGGGGGGGGGGAGTGGGGCGGCGGGTGCGGTCTGCACCTAATGACACCATTTAGAATATGACACGAAAGTAAAAACATGATTGTGAAATTTAATGTCGAAACATTTTTTTAAAATCCACTTTAAATATTTTAGAAAAAAAAAAGTGGGAAGAGTGATGACACCAAACTGAAAATGCAAAATTGTTGGGGGGGGGGGGGGTTTATACCCTAAATTACCGCACCGGATGACGTCCGTCCTGCTGTCGCCCATGTGTGGTTCAATACTCCACGAAAATCGCCATCTTCTGAATCTTGTTGAGCTGTTGATGAATGTTCTAAATGTTAAGTATGAAGTGTTGGCCGTGTCAAAAAAAATCTTTTAATTTGTGTTATGTAATGCATACACCTATCTAAAGAGTTGATAGGTTTCAGTGGCGTAGCCAGGATCGTCGCAAGGGGGGGGGGGGGGGTTCCAATTTTTACCCTGGGACGAACTTTCGATTTGCACCCCTCCCTCAAACTTTCGATTTACACCCCCCCTCAAACTTTCGATTTGCACCCCCCCCTCAAACTTTCGATTTGCACCCCCACCCCCTCAAACTTTCGATTTGCACCCCACTCATACTTTTTATATATATACCGAGGGGTCTATGGGGGGTTATGACCCCCCGTAACCCCCCCCCCTGCCTACGCCACTGATAGGTTTTATTGTTGAAAAAATTCCTGAACTTAGTCAACCACATATTTGTATTAATCTCGTTAAACCTACAGGTATCAACTTGTTCAGGTACTAATAAAAGAAGAAACCACAGCTCCAATGGTACCATTTTTCAGGAATTCGAATAATTTAATTTTGAATACCGATTCCCGACTTCACAAGATAAGCCAGATAAATTCATAAATATTCCTCATTTGTCTTTTTTTAAGCTGGGAGGCATTATACTGTTTCCATTTTAAAGCCCAATCCGTTTTAACATACATCAAGTAAGAAAACATCAGCTAAACGCAACAAAGAACTCTTTTTAAAAAGAAATTATGCTTGCTATGGCGCACTTGTGTTGAAAGGTGCATTATTTTATAAACTTTTTATCAAAGTAATTCAGAAGCGAAAAACAACATGAGATGCGTTTAAAATTTTATTTTGGTTATGATAACATAGTGACACTTTTCTTTATTGTTTAGTTATGTAAATAGTGGCGCAAAATAATATATTTAAAGAAAACCCTGCTTTTTCTTTTTGGATTTGCTTCCATAGTCTTCGTCCATTCAAGAATAAACTACTAGGCAGTTTTTCCCCACAGCTATTAAGCATAATCTGTTCGTTGGTTCGAATTAGCAGCTTCTCGGTTCCTCACCCATGAGCTTTACCGGCCCGAACAAGCCAACACCTTAGCTTTTTAATAATTATGCACTAAAAAGGATAAAAATAAATAATTTTCTTTAAATATATAATATTTAACCACTATTTCTATAACTTAAAGAAACGCCTGAGGCGCTTTTCAAATTTTTGTAAAGATATTCAACAGATAATATAGTGACCAACGCTTTTTTTACTTATTTAAAAACAGAGTTCAAAATTAAAACGTTCTTTTAATGATATTTTTCAATAGGCTACTTGAATTCTTTTAATACAAGAGAATTGAACTGAAAACAATTGCGCACCAAATGAAAACAAACAATATGCGTATAATAGCAATGTAAACAGTACTTTATATAAAAAACTTTCATTAATTCATAAAAAAATTAAGTCAAATTTGATGGCATATTGCATTGTCATTAAATCTTTACCCACTAAATTTAAAAGAAATTGATAAGATAGAAGTATTGGACGTTTGGCTCGCCTTTTTCGATTAGTGAAAAACTGAGGAAGCAAGGTAAATACAAGCTTGTAAGAAAAAATATTTTCGCTGGTTACAGAGTTTGATGTTTTATTGGAAATTCCCGTTGGAGGGATTTCGCACAACTTATCAAGATTTGGTTAGTTTAAAGCAACATATGAGACAGCCTGTTTTAACCAGTTAAATTACACGCTAAAATGTAATAGTATGTTAAGTTTTTCAAAGTTAATTTAAATAAATTAAAGAAATTCAAATGTCGCTTCGCTCAAACTCTATGGCAGAAAAATAAAATAAGATAAAAGCAAAGATGTTAGCTGCATTTGGTGAACAATGCTAGTATTGGCTTTTTCTAAACTTGGTTTTCTTTGTCTATTTTTAATGGACGCCAGCGAGAAAAGTCTCAAAGGAATTTGACAGGCCCATAAATTAAGTAAAAAATCATGCACGGCGTAGTTACAATTAATATTGTTTTAAAATCCTGTCTGTCTAGTTTATTTCGGACTTTACTAAAAATTGGATGTATTTGATGTTTTTAATATTTTCGGTAACTAAATATAAATTTAAATAAACCCAGAGTGATCTCCCCTAAACTTTCTCGAATATTCTTATATATCTTGGAATATAAACATGATTTTTAATTACTTAAATTTTTTAAAAATTCATAAAAAACGTTTTAATAACAAGCTTTTATGTAATAATGCACTAAAAAGTAGAAAATAAATTATAGACTACAATTTAAATAACTATAAAGAAAAGCGTGGGTCACTTAAGTATCTATTGGATACCTTTACTAATGTTAAGGAAGACACCCACGCTTTTCTTTATAGTTATTTAAATAGTAGTCTATAATTTATTTTCTACTTTTTAGTGCATTATTACATAAAAGCTTGTTATTAAAACGTTTTTTATGAATTTTTTTTCAGTACTTTACATGTTTTATTTATAATAGAGTTACATGACTAAAAACCATTGCGCGTCTACTGAACGTGATGGCGCAGCTATTGAACGTACCGTGATGGCGCAGCTATTGAACGTGATGACGCGTGTGGTGTGGTTGGCTAGACTTGCCTACTAATTCGGTCCAAATTTTAATTAATTCATAAAAAATTAATTAGGCATCCAATTAAGTCAAATTTAGTTTCAGATTGCATTGTCTTCATGTCTTGACCCACGTGCCAACTTTGAATCGTATCGGACAAATAGAACTGTTTGAATTTTCACTCCTGCGTTTCGGTCTAGACAGACTGACGACAGACTGACGAGGAAGTGAGTTAAATAAAAGCTTGTAAAAATAGAATAGAATCTCATAGAAAAAAAAATTGCGCACCAAGCGAACGCCAAAACAAAATGCGCATAATAGTGCGCAATATTATTAGTACTTTATAAATTTACATGTGTTTTTTGAGAAATAGGAAATAGCGTAAATTAGTACTTCCGGTCATTGGAAATTACTCAAAATTTGACATAAGGTAGAAAATTAAATCTTTTACTTACTTGTGAAATTTCATTTATCTATCTGAAATAGTACTCAAGTTATAGGCTTTTGAAAAATTCAAAGTAGAAAAAGTACCACTTCCGTTTATCGGAAATCACTCAAAAGTTTATATGGATCTACGATTTTGATAAAATATTTATATATGAAATTTCATCAACGTAGCTGTAACGGTACTTAAGTTATCGGGTTTAAACACAGACAGACAGACACACACACACACACACAGACACAGACATACGGACAAGATTGCAAAATTATGTTTTTCCGTATCAGTGAGGTGTAAAACGTCGAGATTTGTAAAAATCTCGACGTTTTTTTTTTGCACGATTACAACACTTTCTCTATACTACGTATATACGAGAAAGTAAAAAAAGCAAAAAGAATTTGGTTTCCACGTGTAAAGGCGACATAAACAATGGCATCCTGCTATTCGATAGGCTGTCATACATTTTATTGTACACATTGTAATCTAAATAAAGAAAAACTAGGTCATGGGGTTTAAATTTGCATTGTTATTTAAAAACTTGATCTGCAAAGTTTAGTAAACAAATAGTTATCGATCACTAAGTTACTGTACATCCAATCAATATTTGTCTTACGAAAGTGAAACCTCCGGTTATAACTTAGGTTTCATGAAAAGAAATAGAAATGTAGCCTTAAACTCAAAAAATTATTTTCAAGTTCTCTGGATTTGCAACTTTTATAGCATTTATTCTTAAAATATAAAATTTCTAAATTAATTTTAGGCTCAAGTTTTTTTTTTTTTTTTTTTTTTTTACGGTCTAAATCTAAAAAGCACGTTTTTATTCCATGTCAACAACATTATGGAAGGATTCTCGTCAACTCGCTGGTGTCCATTGAAACCAACTATGAAAACATAAGCCAAGCTATCACAACAGAGACGAGAATTAATAAGAAAATATTAAGAAGCAGGAAAAATCTGTTCAGCTTAAAGGCTATGGTGCCTTGTCCAAGGACTTGGCCTGTGATACTCCTACGTTGAGCAGGAGGAATGAACTCTACGTTGTTGTAATCCAAACAATTATGTGCATTCTTGTCTGTCAAACTTGCGGTTAACTCCCCTTGTTTGTTGTCTTCAACTTCAGCAGCTCTGCCCTCAACATTTTTCTTTTTGTCCCGTCTATGGACGATTATAACCAGGGCATTTCCGGCGACAGCAAGGAAGGAGAACACAAGCAGGAATACGATGTACACAACTGTAGAAATATAAGGCTGGTTAATTTTAATACATTATTGTTGTTACGTTTTATTTTAAATATTTACAATATAAAAATGTACTATTAAATCAGAAATTAAATACAAACGAAACATATTTATTTCTTCCTGAATTGATGGAATTTTAATTTGAAACCACATGAGAAAGTATATACTTAATAGACGTTTAATGGGTTTATAATAATCTACTTTAGGTTAATATTAGATACGAAAGATCTTCTAAAAATACTCTGTTAGAATCAGTTGAACAACTTCGTACATTACATTGTTCGTCAACAATATCTAATTTCATGTTAATAACTTTATATATAATGATAATTATAATTGTCAAACATACGTCAGTCACATTGCAGCTCAATTATGAGGTTGATTCTACAACTATTTCCAATGGTAACTTTGTCATCACCAAATTCTGTCTCATCCACATTTCAATAGCTATAAGCTGATCCTGAGATAACTTCTATAATTATCCTCTGCAGAAAGTAAAAGTAAAGTGCCCTTTCGTACTTTCGATTCATGAAAGAATAGTTTACCTCTTTCATTGACCGAGACATATGGAAAGCTAGAGTGGTCATAACATTGCCAAGCCGCCTCTACTTCCTCTAATGTAAGCCAAGTACTTAGGAGAACTTGTTAGACTCAGGGATCTAAACTCTAGACTTTCGGGTTAGCAGTCGAACGCTCTACCATTCGACCACGCCGTGGTTCTAACTATCCTAGGTAATAACACGTATTTTTTTGTCTACCCCCTCCTTTTATGTCAGTTCGCCGGGCTTGCTCTGCTTATTTTCCACCTACGGATTATCCCACAATCCATCTATTATATATAAAATGATGTATACACCTTCACACATTGTCTGTTTCTCCTTTGTAATATTACAACACTCGGATCCTTTCGAGGCATGTATAAAGCTGATTGTATTTTAATAAAAGATACTATGAATTGCAAGTTGCATTGTTTTAGTTCGCTGTAGGTTGTTTTTCCTGTGGCTGTAATTACTTGTATGTCTGGAGTCGTCCATTCCTTGTATGAGAAAAATATTTCCCTGGTAGATAAATTATCAACTTCCTCCATAAGTGTTTAATAGATAATCCTCGTCATCTTTTCCTTTTGTGCCAAAGACACATTGCGCCAATTAATAGATAATACCAACAGCATATACTTTGATGACTAGTTTTTCGTTTAGTGAGATAAAGATTTGAGATACTCGAATAAAACTTGGAGCAGTATAATCTAACTAATGACTGGGAATGAAAAAAAAGACAAAGTCTAAACCAACCTAGTAGAGAAATGTGGTCTGACGTTTGAGGCAGGTCGTTGTCAATGACACTGAGAAACACGGTGAACGACAGAAGGATGGTGATGGCGAGTGAGACTTTCTCCGTCTCTTCCGGTGATAGAAAGAAGGAGAAGACGCTCAGGACAGCCAACAGCATAATGGGCATCAGTAGCCTGGATGGGATAAAGTATAATGGGCATCAGTAGCCTGGATGGGATAAAGTATAATGGGCATCAGTAGCCTGGATGGGATAAAGTAGAATGGGCATCAGTAGCCTGGATGGGATAAAGTATAATGGGCATCAGTAGCCTGGATGGGATAAAGTATAATGGGCATCAGTAGCCTTGATAGGATAAAGACATTATCAGTGTAAGCAGCTTGCATGGTATATACTATGATAGGCATCAGTTACCTAGATGTGACTCTTCATCGTTCATAGTTGAGTCAACACATTTTTCTATCACAAGCTACACTTTCACTATACTTATAAGTGTTTAACATACTCACGTGATAGCGAGGTAGGTCGGCCTCCTCTGCAGTTTAATCCTGAAACAGATGTACTTGTAGACTTTACCATGGTGGCTGAGTTTATATATGTCCACTCCATCCGATCTCACCCAGTACTCCTTGTTGGGCGTAAAGGAACGCATACTAATAGGGTCAGGATTGGCTGTCAGCTATAGAGAAATGATAGTCACGATTATAAGATGAATAAATGAGAGATGGTAAGGAAATGAATTGCGTGAAGAGGTTGTTGTTAATACTTGAAGAACTATGCTGAGATCTATATTAATTGTTTTATACGCTTTTAACTAGTTATTGTGAACAATGGAAAGTGTACATCATATTGGTTTGTGTGTGAATAAGCTCGATTCCGCTCCTGTATACAGGACATGTTGTATCGAAAGCCGTCTAAAATAAAGATTTTGTAGATGACTATTGTGTTTAGTTTATGCCAAAAAATTATTTGTTTACTTGGAAATATTCCTAGAAAAATTCAAAATATATACGACATCACAAATTAAACAGTTGACACGTAATTACATAGCGCCAGCACCAGTTACAAACGTTGTCAAACAATTACATACCGTGATTACCAATTACATTAGTTGACACATAATTACATAAAGTAAGCATAAATTACACCAGTTGTACTTCACATCACGTGATTACCAATTAAATTAGTGGACATACAATTACATGACGGCAGCACCAATTACACCAGTTGTCCATCGCTTACATTAATCTTGGAGTCGTCGCTCATCCAAGGGGTCACCTTGACCACGCACACGTTCTGGTCGAATGGATACCTGGATATATCTACCTGGAAAGTATTGATATTATTGATAAGTCTAGGGTAAGATAAGCTGGATAACGCCTCATTACCAGTAACTAAATCGTCTATATACAGAACAACACTTTCACACTGAGCAGAACAGAGGAAAACATAGCTAGCTTGGAATGGAACCCGTAGGGAAAGAGAAAAATTGGCAAACCTAGAAAAAACATTGATGGGAATAATAAAAGCGAAGCATGGGCTTCGCAGCAACGGGCTTTGAGGCATATATCAACCTAAGATCGTTATAAATGTACTCAGGGGATCCACATGATTAAGTAATGTTATCGCAAGCGACCAGTTATGCAGTTCAAGTAGATTGTTTTTCAAAGCACCGCACATGAAGGGATAATGTGGTCAGCAGTATGCCCAGGCGCCTTGATCTGTCAAGTGAAGTACACTGTACTGCAAGATAGGACTGACGAGCCGACTTATTTGTTAATCAAGGATTAAGTCAATCGTTCTTACATTACAAATTCAACTCACTAATTTTGATTTTAAAAAATATCAAAACGGATAAAATTAATAAATGTTAACGATTAATGTGTAACCAGTGGCGTCACTAGGGCGGGTGTCACCCAATGCGGTAACTTAGGTTGTCACCCCACCATTCCAACAAATTTTCATTTTCTTTTTGGTGTTAACCCTCTGTCCCTTTAATTTATTTTATTAACTGGATAAAAATATTTCAACTGTATATTTTATTATTTTTCGTCGTGGTGTCACCCACGAAATGATGTCACCTGACGCGGACTGCACCCCCCCCCCCGCCCCAGTGACGCCACGGCGTGTATACCTACAGTGCAAGCTACTGCAAAATTTGTCACCGGCTCCCATCTCACGCGGCCGTCTGAACTCAGGAAAATCTGAAGCTCCTCATCGCCGAGGTACACGTCGTTTTCTATGCTGAAATATCGTTACACACATTAAAAACAGCAACACAGTAGCTGTAACACAGTCTACAACCACACATCCGCAACATAAACACACATACCTAAGCCACGAACTCACTCAAGCAACACACTACACCTATTACAATCTTAGCCATTTCTACCACCACGCCAACTTCTAGAAAATTCTAATCACAAACACCCCTAACATACCATGATTCTATAACCGCAACATATACAACCACACCCCCTACTACCACCTCACTACACCAATACTGCAACCACAACACCTTCTGCAATAACATCTCTTACAACTCCCACAGCCAACCACAACTACACCTCTTACTAAAGCGACACCTCCCACTACAACCACACCCCTACCCCAACCATACACCCAGTTCTACAACCACGCCCCTACCCAAACCACACACCCAGTTCTACAACCACAACCACACCCCTACCCCAACCACACACCCAGTTCTACAACCACACCCCTACCCAAACCACACACCCAGTTCTACAATCACACCCTTTCTTACAACCACCCACTCTACCTCAACCACTTTCTTCAACTCACGAATTATAAAAAAGACGGCAGTGTGATCCTTCCGCATTCAACCAAATCCTACTACCAACGCACCACCTTCAAAAAATGAACCACCTACAACAACTAACCGCCTACAACGTCAACACAATCTAGAACAACTATAAATACTTTAACCACACTATCTGCAGCAACTAACCACCTAATACAACCAAACCACCTCCAACAACTAAAGTCCACTACAACCACGCACCCATAAAACCGACCACCTACTGCAACCACCTACTAATCCTAACCCTACTACAACTAACCACCTACCACCATCACAACACCTCCAATAATTACCGTCTACTACAACCACACACCCTACCACAACCCCCACCCCTTCTGCATCCACACCTCTACAACAACCATACCACAACCCCACCATCCCCTCTACAAACACAAACTCACGCATTATAAACCGCGATGTCTGGTCGCCATAGCAACTTCTGCGGCAGGATCAGCTCTGTGACCCCTCCGTACTCAGCCGGGTCCCACGTGAGCAGTTCGTCCTGCCATACCTACATCCACATAGACATATACATATACATAATTTACTCTCCTATGTGTCTACACTACACTCCCGAGCCCATTCACAAATAGCAATGTAAATATCTGTTAATTTATATATGTTCAGTGATTTCAAGCTTTCCTAGACAGCAGAAGTTCATAATTTTTTGTAGTTAATATAATTTTTTTAATTTTTTAATCCGAATTTTTTATTAAATATCTCTCAAATCTTATGACATAAATGTCATTTTTTATCTCGTATTAATGTCATTTCTCATCTCGTGAATATGACGTAGAGTCCCAGGGGATATGATGACTTGATGAGGTGTGAGCTATGCATTGAATGATATTGTAAAATGTTGCCTAAAGGGAAACAATCCACTTAAGCAAGGGCGGATTATCCACTATCGTGTTTTGTTGAGTAGGCTTATAAATATTCTGATATTCAAACGATTGTAGAGATGTCTGTTGTGTTTTTTGTTTACAGTTATGATAAACACATATGGATGAATTTTTTGATTCAGTTAAAATTTGTTTCAAAGTAAATTTCGTAAACAATCATGCTTACACATACTTGAGGCTTATGTTTACAATAATGCAATTTTATTCGTAGACATCGACTGTAGTGAAATCAAACTATTAATGAACAATGCACGAACCGACTTACAAACGAAAGAAATCCACTGTACTTAAAGACTTGGTTCTTGATGTCCTGTGGAATATAAAGGGTTAAAATCGCACGAAACTAGTGTTAATTCTCAGAATGCAGAAAAGCTGAGAACTATTATATTATGAGAATGACAGTTTCATTCATGTATTATACAGGGAGAGGTCTTGTGTTTCTTTCATACATTTTTCTCTAAGGTAGGGAAGGGAAAATTTTAATTTTTCAATACTTTTTTCGCATGTGAAATTGGCGACTACTGACCAAAGTATATATTTACAATATAATTTCTATTTCGTTTAGGGGAAGGGTTTGGGGTTGGAAGGTGGTGAACGTGCTTGAAAAGACTGTCTGAAAGAACTCTGAAGAGGGCACGTCCATCACTCCTCTCCACAAGACTTAATAAAATCTATATATAATTCTCTTTTTGGAGACCATTGAAAACACCAAGCTGTAAGCGCGCCTAGCAGTCCCATCTCTTCCTCTCTTGGCATATCCCTACAACCCCCACCCCCACATAGTCTGGTGAGCTGTGGTTCAAGCTAAATGTTTACAATCGTAGAGCCGGGTTTAGTGACGGCTATTAGGGGCAGATAATTTAGTTTGAACGATTTTAAACTTAGGGGAGGTAACTAAGAGGAGGCTGCTTTCACTGGGGGGGGGGGTTATGGTTGGGGTTTGGGGAAAGGAGGGTGTGGGGGAGGTTATCGTCCTTATCGACCTACTGATAGTGTTTTAAAGCAAATATTTTCAGTGGCAGCATTGTTACTGTCGAGTTCACAAATTATGAATTATTGAAAAGAAGAAAATAAAACAACTAAATAGCGGCGTATGATACGCAGCGGGTCGGCTCGTAGTATATAATTTACATAGAACCAGTACACCCGCCCCGCGAGAATTTTAAGTGCACCAACCCGGAAGTTTCAATTGTCTAAACTAAACCCTTTGGTATAAGTGGGTCCGGTGCCGCAAACATAAATAACCAACTAAATCAACGAAAAATGCAAAGGAAAATGTTATCAATTATTATTACAAGTGAATATTCATCAATATTACACAAAACAAACTTAGCATCATGTGTTCATTAGGATTAAGATTAGGATTACTCACGAGGTCCAGCACCATGGCCAGATGAAGCTTAACGTTGACCTCCGTGGCCTGATCGTAGTCC